TGTGACCGGACTTCAAGATCGTCACCAGTCATCAGAACATCTTGGAATGCGATCAAGATCGGGTACCAAAACTGCTCCTCCTTGGACTGACGGGTGAGCTGCTGGGAAAGGTTGGTAGCATCTTCATGGAAGCCCTCCGGTGATGCACCACGGTGAGACAGCGGGCACTCTGGCGTCCTCAGCATTTTCGTAACAGTAGACTTCAAGGTCTCAATTGCCTGCAACGACTTCTTCTGGAATTTTGAGTTTTTGGAAAATTCAGTGAGGCAGACAACGAGGTCAGGGAAGGCACCCTGTGTTATAACGACGCCAAAGCGAGTGTTGTAGATCTGGGTCACATGCTCGAAAGCCATATTGACAATGCCTTCATACGGCTCGCGAGCAGCAACCGTAAAGACGCCAAACATAGTTTTCCAACCTGAGCGAATGTTGTCACCACGTGCCTGTATCATCTGGATGAGACACCGAAGAATCATATCCTTGACAGTGACAGCGTTGCTGTTCGCCATAACATGTTCAAATGGCTTAAGGAAGTCCTTTTGAAACTTGAAGCCTGGCAGCTCCTCAATCTCCATAAAGCGCATCGACAGTTGGCGAAGCGAATCAAGAGCGAAGAAGACCACTGTGGTATTTGAATGGCAACCCACTTGATTGAAGTGCTGTCCGAGGACCTCCCAAATCTTTGACCATTCTATCCTGACTCTCGTCATATTGTAGTAACTGATCTCTACCAGTTTCTGCAGGCTATACGTCCGAGGAGATTCAGTTTGCCCAGACGATTGGATCTCTTGCCAGCTGACCTCGCTGAGGGCCTTAATGAAATCGATGATGGCCTCGTGGGAGAGATTGGCCGTATTGGTGAAGATGCGGTCCACTCCCCTTATCATTTCTGCAGATCGACTCTCCATTGCAACCTCGGTACGGAAAGCTGTAGGTCCATTGATAGATCGGGGGCGAGGCCGTCTTGAAGCTTGCATCGACTTCCGAGATCCTTCCGTTGATGGCTGAGTCACGATGCGAGCTCGAGAGACATCAGGCAGGGAACCTTCATCCACACCATCAGTGAGGAGCTGAAGACGGTCGAGTTGACTGACGCAGGTGAGAATTTCTCTCCAAGAGCCCTTGAGATGGTTTCCTTCCGTAAGAGCGACGTCCAGCAAGGCTTTCAACGCCTCCACGTTCTTTGCTACCATCTCCCTGACGTTGCCCAAGTTGGTAAACTTGGCCAAGGCGGTCACAAACGCGACCCGCGGGGTCTCAAGTTCGAACGCGCAACTGATGCGTATAGCCAGCTTCATACCTCCCATGCAAAGTCGGATGATTTCGAGGTATTGGGTGTCCTGCATCGGAGCAGACAAGCCAGAAAGGAAAGACATCCAGGTGACATTGAACATGGAACCAACATGTTGGACAGAGGTTGCCGGGATGAAGCGTGAGAGAGCTTCCTTGACAGCTGTTTTTCGCTGAGCCCGTATCAGACTACGATAAAGCTGCTCGGTCTTGTTTGCCATTTCCTCAGAAGCCTGCGCGTACTTTTCACCTTGGATATCGCGTCCCACCGTTGCAAAAACTTGCCCAGCCCTGGACGCGAGGCCACCGCTGGGTGCAGACGTCGGAATGCCAAGATTGGCAGCATGTTCTCTCTCAGTATCCAACACAATTTCATTGTTTGCGATTTCGTCGTAGATGGAACCAAGATAATCATCAGGCAAATCCTGGTTATCATTGATACCCCTATTGTTCTTAATGAAATCTTCCTTCGTCATGCGGCGGCCCTTGATCTTGGCACTATGCTGATCGGTGTTGAGCATGATGACGGAGTAAGCAAGAACGTAGGCCGTATCCGCGTTTGCAAATGCGTTCGGATTCTGCGTTACGTAGCGCTCTGCAAACTTGAGCATGAAGCGATCGATCTTCTGTGCCTCTCCTGGCAAGCGGAAGTGCTGTAGGAATTGACGCAGAGCATCGACGAAGCGCCGCTTCGAAAACTCCATCATATCAACGAAAGCATGCATGATGGCGATATTCTCAGCCTCTCCTTCACCGAGATACTCACCAATCATGGCTTTATCCAACCGTTCATTCCGGAACAAGAACGCGGCAATGTCCTCCGGTGAACTGGAACGTACAAAGCCATCTTTGATAAAGAGCTTGATTCCCCGCTTGGCCTTGAAGTTGAACTGTTGGATGGCGTTGGTGAAGGCGATCTTTCTTTGCTTGACCTTCTCAATCTGGCTCGGGTCGTCCTCCGCCACAGGTGTGGTACTGCCGTCGGTGCTTTCGATCCTCGGAGAAGAAAGATAGGTAGCGGCAGTCGTTTCCATTGAATCCCTAGGATTGTCGATTGACTTCTGCGAAGAGGAGTTGAGAACTGGCGCCGCTTGATCGACCAAACGCTGGGAAGCCCAGTTGTCTAATGACTGAAGGATTTCCACCAGGCACTCGACCGCCTGATTCTTCAATATATAATCAGGCGGCACATGCTGTAGGTTTGGCTGATGAACATTGGCTACGCTAGCTGTGGTAAGGTTGGGCGGTAGGGTTCCCCGTTGATGCCAGTCGTTACCGATAGTCGAAACCTTGACATGATGCTCCTGATACTGTTGTTGCTGGAAAGCGGTGACTGTGACTGGTATACTTGCATACCGTGACAACTGCTCAATAACACTGGAGAATGGTCAGAACTCGGACTACAGAATAATGAAATTATGACATACTTTTGGAAAATATTTTCCAACGCGGTTCTGTCGCAGTCATAGTTGAGGTACATTTCCACCAAGGCGCGCGGATCGCCTGCCAATCGCTCCAAGATTTCCATGAAGTACTGTTTCTGGAAAAGGGGAGAATTGCGCTTTTCGAGAATAGTCAAGTATATCTCTTTTAGGAAAACCTCAAGTTCTTTCTGCTGACTGTCAGATCGACTCGCGCGACAAGTCCATAAAGCATACTAACCTTCATCATCACTCTCATATCCTTCAGCATTAGCCAGAATATCTCACAGCAAACTTCGAACACTCTAGGCACCGAGCTAGACCCATTCCGACTCAAACTTAAGCACAAGTGAGGCCGGACAGCTTGTAGTAGTGTCATAGCATCCGGGCTGTTGGAGCTATTTTTTATGGTCAGGAGGGGAGATGTAAAGGTTACAACGTGATTGTTGATGAGGTAATGAATGAGGTGCAATGAGAGCAATTTCGATCTCATGTTCTGAGACTTGAGATCTTGCTGTTGATCATGGCTCAGTATTTTGTGGCTCAGCTTGCAGAGTGCCCTGAAAACCAAAAATGCGTCTTTGACATATATTTCGTCTTCATCATCATCGGAAGTGCCGTCAATGTCCTCTGCTGAGGCTGCAGACATTGATCGAGCAGATCTCTGATTGCCTCTGGCACGAGTAACCATCGTGGGAGCATTATCGTTGACCGAGGTCACATCCTTGTTCGACTCGAAACTTTGCAACGTCAATTTCTCCACGGGCTCCTTCGTGACAGGCTGGTCGGAGGCTACGGCAGACGGGGCATCTGAGTCGTGATCATCTTCTGTTGCTTGTGGTGTGTCGGCTGTTTCTAGAGTCACAGTATCCGAAGAGCCTGTCTGCCCTTTCTCGCCATCGCGCAAACGTAGCTCTTTCAAGTCCAACCGTACCTGGACCCTATCAAATACAGTGCTGACCATCTGTGTCAAGGACCCTTGGGCGATTTGCTGATTCTGAGATGATTTGGAGTAGATGAAGATGTTGTAAATCTGGCGGACAGCCTTCAGGAGACCTGCTCCATGCACGACGATCTTGTCGTTCAGAACTGCCGCAAGGAGTGACTTTATGATTTGTTGTTGAATCTCGACGGGTGTGGCTTCGTTCTCAAAGCAGTCGCAGATCGCATCAATAGCTCGCTCAATCAGGGGTGGCTGTTCAGGGTTGGCCTCCGACTCTGGCGTCTTCCCATCTTGAGATGAAGGGAAGGCGAAGTATGAGTAGGTTATCAATTTCCCGATGCAATCGAGGGCCGTGACCTGTAGAGGAATACTGAAGGTTTTCGTGGCCAGCTGCAGAGGGCGGAATATACGCTCAGGGTCAATGGGCTGGCCATCTGACTGTTTGACGTTTGCGAGGGCACTCTTCACAGCATCCTCAAGTTCTTTGCTTCTCCGCGCTTCCTTAGACGCGCCGATTGTATCCAACGCCGTCACAATAAAAACGGTAGAGCTGACCGTGACGGAGCGATGTGTTGCAAATGTAGCTGTCGTCGATCTTGAATCGGAGCGCATGCGTGAATCGGAGGGAATCTCATCTTGATGCGGGATGGAAGCAACATCTTGCTTGTCAGCCGAAGATTCCTCTTCAACGTTGACAGCCGGAACTACCGGTAATGTGTCCGCAGGTTGGTCCTGTGTATCGGGCTTCGAGGTCGACTCAGGCTCGGTGTCAGCCTTGGGTTCTGATGATGCGACGGCTCCCTCCGGAGAGCTTGGGGCTTGATCCGGCGACTCTGTGTTTTCAGCAGTTTCCAATTGTTCTGGTGATAATGGAGCCTCCTCCGATCCCTGAGCATCAATTCCTTGAATATCCGAAATCTCCGGTAGTGCGGGTTTATCTCCGTCGACAGGTGATTCCGTATGCGCTAGGACATCGCCGGCAACATCCTCCTTGTTGTCTACCGGCGGCAGGGTTGTAGATGTTTGGGTTGGTGGCTCGTTCACAGAGCCATTCTCGACTTCCGCCATTTATGCAAGACTCCGTCCGGAGTGTTGGGAATTAGGCAGACGAGGGGTCCACATGGGACTGAAAAGCAACTAAAGGGGTATATGCAGGTCTGAGAGAAAGGGCCCTCTAGCCTCCTGGACGCTGGGGAACTGATGCGTGTTCACTCCGCGGACGGGGAGAATGTACGGCTGCCGCTAGGGGCCACACCCGCCGCGCTGACATAATCAGGCCACGGCGGCGCCCGGCGAGTCTATTCCGATCGCTCACCGGGAAGCTCAACAGAAAAGTTCCTGGAGCTGCAGTTCTCAACTCCTCTGATACGGGCCCTTCCATTCCGCCAGATACGTCTCCGGCTCCCCCTTTCATCCCATTTAATCCTCTCATTCCCGTCTCGGGTCTATTTCTCTATCACATATAGCATTTGGGCGCCATGGTTGCTTCTGCTGTCCGGATGCGCGCTCCCAGCGCCATGTTCCTCTCCAAAGGCGCCCTCTCCCTGAAGCGGCCGCAAACTGTTCACAGATTCAAGGACATCGCTCAGTATGTCGCACCACTTCGTTGAAGACCACCTGGCTGTCTACAAAGCATGCTAATCATACTTGTGTGTCGTTCTAGATCTCAATTGCCTTCCCTGTCCGCCCTTTCCCGTTTTTATGCCTCCAAGTGTATGCCGTTATTCTTGTCGCCTTTGATTTGTGGATGATCGGATTTTAACATGTTGGATCTGCAGCCTTCCCTCCCCACACTGTCATCAGCATGCCGGCCTTGTCGCCGACCATGTCCGCCGGAAACATTGGAGCTTGGCAGAAAAAGGCCGGTGATTCCCTGCAGCCCGGTGATGTTCTGGTAGAGATCGAGACCGATAAGGCCCAGATGGACTTTGAGTTCCAGGAAGAGGGTGTTTTGGCCAAGGTTCTCAAGGAGACTGGCGAGAAGGACGTCGCTGTCGGTTCTGTATGTGTTACCTCTGCTTTTCTGTTCTTGGCCCCCACCGAATCCTTTGCTGACCGCTATTGCATTAGCCTATCGCTGTTTTGGTTGAGGAAGGTGTCGATGTTGCCGCTTTCGAGGCTTTCAGCCTGGCGGATGCCGGTGGTGAGAAGGCTGCTCCTGCTGCTGAGGAGAGCAAGCAGGAGTCCAAGGCCGCTGAGGCTGCCCCGGCTTCTGAACCCGCCCCTGCTGCCGTGGAGCCTGAGACTTCCGGCGAGAAACTCCAGCCCAGTCTGGACCGTGAGCCTTCCATCAGCCCTGCTGCCAAGGCCCTGGCTTTGGAGAAGGGTGTGCCGATCAAGGCTCTCAAGGGTACCGGCCGTGGTGGCCAGATCACTAAGGAGGACGTTGAGAAGTACCAGCCCAGTGCTTCTGCCGGCCCTACCTACGAGGATATCCCCCTGACCTCCATGCGCAAGACCATTGCTAGCCGCCTCCAGCAGTCCGTGCGCGAGAACCCTCACTTCTACGTCTCCACCACTTTGTCTGTGAGCAAGCTCCTCAAGCTTCGCCAGGCTCTGAACGCATCTTCCGAGGGCAAGTACAAGCTTTCCGTCAACGACTTCCTCGTCAAGGCCTGCGGTGCCGCCCTCATGAAGGTCCCCACCGTCAACTCCAGCTGGCACGAGGAGAACGGCCAGACCGTCATCCGTCAGCACAAGACCGTCGACGTCAGTGTTGCCGTCTCTACCCCCAACGGCCTCATCACCCCTATCGTCAAGAGCGTTGAGGGCCGTGGTCTGTCCAGCATCTCCAACCAGATCAAGGACCTGGGCAAGCGCGCCCGCGACAACAAGCTCAAGCCCGAGGAGTACCAGGGTGGCACTTTCACCATCAGCAACATGGGTATGAACCCTGCTGTTGAGCGCTTCGCTGCCGTCATCAACCCCCCTCAGGCCGGTATCTTGGCTGTTGGTACCATCCGCAAGGTTGCCGTCCCCGTCGAGACTGAGGAGGGCACCTCCGTCGAGTGGGATGACCAGATCATCGTCACTGGTAGCTTCGACCACCGTGTCGTCGATGGTGTTGTCGGTGCTGAGTGGATCAAGGAGCTGAAGAAAGTTGTTGAGAACCCCCTCGAGCTTCTTTTGTAAGCTCTTCCCTACACTGTGGAACTTCGACCGGCGCAGTATACTAGCTATCTACGATCGGAGTTTCTTTTGGCCTTGTTGTAATATGTATTAAAATCATTGAACGTTTCCTCCTTTCACGACCGTCACGGTCTGTCAAGTACAGCCTAGATATTCTCAATGCATTTCCTATGTCCCGTACTTCCATGATGTTAAGCCTTGCAGGATGTTTTGGACCATGTTATTGGCCGCACAGGTTGTACCTGATACTTGAACCAGCCCCTTTCAATAGATGCAATAACCTGTCTAGATTTATGCCTTGCAGAGCAGTAATTGGGTAGATCCATCAGGAACAACCTAAAGGGTTGCGTAGCCGCCAGTGCGTTGCGTCCGGCACGAGGGTCTTGGCGGTGCTCATAGCCTGGGCCAAGGGAATCTATGACGTGATGTCATTCCTCTCGGACGGTTCTCGTGTCCATAAATACTCGAGGTTCTCATCCCCTGAAACCTACCTCGATACTTTCCCGTGCGTCAGCCTATTACATCTTATTTTATCGTCACTTTGCATCCGAATCTACCTGTGCGTTTATTTGGCCCTTCCAGGTGGTTGCTAAGTACTCTTGGTCTTGGCATACTCCCACTTTAGATGCGCCGACTGATGACGTCCTAGATCACATATTCCCATCAAGTCATACGACTCACTTATTCATCATGTCTTACGCAGAAGCTGCTGCCAAAGGTCCCAAGCAATCCGCAGAGGAGGTATGTCTACAGTCACTCCCCCGCCTAGCGTTCACTGCTAGTACTATACCATCTAGACTATGCAGATCGCTAACAGTATGGACAGGCGTAAGTCAACAACATCACAGAACAAAGACCCTTTCATACAGCTAACAGCCATGTAGTCGCGCCCCCAGCGTTGGTGGAGTGTACCGCGATGAAGCCGAGAGCACCGCTTCCCTGGTCGACGTCGACTCGCCGCACGTCCAGGCCGTGGATCCCGATTTCCTGAAGCAGGACGTGCAGACCACCACCCAGGCCGAGCGGATAGAGCGAGAAGAAGAGGAGCGGGAAGCCTACGAAGAACGGAGAGCCAAGAGCAAGGCTAAGGCTAAAGCTAAGGCGAAGGCTGAATCGGCTCGCAGCAACGCGCACAACCCTGTGTACCTCGGAAATGCTGTGATTCTGGCCTTGACCGGCGCTGGTCTGGGGTATGGAGCATACCGGAAGCATGCTGCTGGGCAGCTTTCGTGGGAAGTGATTGGATGGGCCTCTGGCGCTGTTGGTGCCCTTGGTGCCGTGGACTACTTTGTTAGCAAGTGAGTATCTGTCAGAAGTGCATGTGCGATGATGGTGTTTGCTAATGTGGGGGCGTCCTCTAGATGGCTTCTGCAGAACAAGTACCCTCCGAAATAAGGCTTGAAGTCGAGACGGAGCACTTCGTGGAGTCGTGATATCCCAGTGTCAATTCCGCGGTCTATTACTTTCCTTACTATTTGTTGTACTCCTTTAGGGTACATGAGGCGTTTGTGCAGTCTTTGGGCGTCATAGTGTGTTTATTACTAGTTATATCCCTATTGGATTGATCTCCTCTTAACACAGCAGCCGTCGTAAGAATGAAGGCATGAAGTATTCTGCGGTAATCGCAAAGGCGAAGACAATGTCCCACGCGGGGTAGACAATTGCAAAAGAAAAAGAAAAATCAAATGACGTAGACTGTAGAGTCGAGAGCTTTTAGTCACCTCTCTAGCTTCCTGCATGGACTTACTTTTGCTCGGACCGAGCTGAAGCGGGTCAGGCCGCACGAATGGCTGCAGTGGCAGGGGCGGTCAGCGCCGTCAGAATCGTGGCCTCTGCAAGAACATGTGGCCTTGGCCAGCATCATTGTTAGCCTGATATAGAAGGTCTCTCCTGACACGTCGCTATTTCTCGGTGCCGACTCCTAAACATTCCGCAGACTTACTCACAGTTTTCGTACTCTTGGGAAGAAATAAGCACCTGCAAACCCAAGCTATACCTCTCCTTTTGCGGCCGGCATTGTATACAGCGCACTCACCCGATAGGGTACACCGCACAAAATGGTAAGTCGTCTACGACCTCAAGATGTGAAGCCCCAATTTGAGGGATTATGTTCATGCCTGATGGGAGCTTACATTGTCTATTGTTCAGAATTCCCTCTTCAATTCCGCCCTCAAGCAGTCATCTGCTATCCGCCGTGACCTGGACACATTCTCCCAATCGCCAGCTACCTCATCTGCCGCACTACAAGGTATGTTTCGAAACTGGTACTTGTAGAGGCTCCACTACGCGACAGAGGAAGCTAAGCTCATGTGCATTATAGGACAAATCGCTGCTTCGCTAGCATCGCTATCACGCACCGTTGACGACTACTCTGCCCTGTCCAAGAAGGAATTAATCCCGGAGAAGCAAGAGAAGGCATTCGAACGAGTCAAGAATTTCCGATCAGAACTGGCAGATTACCGGCAACATTTTGATCGACTACGGAAAGAACGGGAGGAAGCTGTAAGGATACCACTCGCATCTTCGAGCAGTGTGGAGAGTTAATGTCGCTGACCATGGTTTGTCTACAGCAATCCGTCACCAACCGCAACGAGCTCCTCGGTCGACGCCCTCATCACACAGCTACACCGGAGAACCCATATGCCCAATCATCCCTCCCTCAGTCCTCCGCGTTCGCTCCTTCCTCATCACGATCGGGACTCAGCTTTGGAGCTTCGCCGGCCGACTACAACCGGGAAACACATGCGCTTCGTGAACAAAGCTTCCTAGCGAGCACCAACACCCAGATCGACGAGTTTCTTGATCGGGGTCGTGCTGTGCTGGCGGATTTGGGACAGCAGCGTGAAGTGCTGAAAGGCACGCAGCGTCGACTCTACAGCGTTGCGAACACATTGGGCGTCAGCGGCGACACAATCCGTAGGGTTGAGCGCCGCGCAAGACAAGACAAGTGGATCTTTTGGGGCGGAGTGGTGCTCTTCTTCCTGTTCTGTTGGGCTGTCCTGCACTTCTTGCGATAGTTGTGGTACATATTTCTTTTCATTCCCCTTTATATTGTTTTTTGCTTTTACTCCTTACCTTTCTGGGACTATTGTGATTTGGTGCTTGGGTTGTCTTACAAGCGCAGGCGTTTGGAGCGCATTGGCAGGGGGGGAACTTATTGCGCATTATTGTATGTACTTGTGTGTGTGTGTGTGTGGATGTGGTGATGGCTAGTAGTCTATATGTAGTCCCTGCAGCAGGACTGATTAGATTCGCTGTCCCCGTGCGCAATGGGAGTTGGTTTGAGTGTGGAGTAACCCAGAAGTAGTGCGCCGTAGACAAGGAAGACGGACGGGTGGATGGAAAAGGTTGGGGGGGACGTGGCCATCGGTTAAATTAGGGACCATGGAGCAGATCCCATAGCAACGTGGCAATGAAAGCAATTGTCTAGAGAGGTTGAATTCAATTTGAAAAAGTAAAAAGACTATCATTGCCATCGGAGAACCATTGACGACCAGCATACTATGAGGTGTCGGTAGGACGGAACCGGAGCAAGTTGCCAGGCAAGTGGACAGACATGGCAAGCACGACAAGATGATCCGATGGCTGCCGTGGGGATCGGAAACGGAGCCATTTAGCCGCCCCAAAATCCTTCGCGCTCACCGGCCACCGACCGGCTTCTCCCTTCTTCTCCTTCTTCTCTCTCCTCCTTCCTCTCCATCGCAATTGTTTCCCTTCTTTCCTCCCCATCTCCCCAATCTCCTTCCAGATAGATCTACCTCTAGTCTATCCTTCACAGTCAAGATGTTCGCTGCTCGTCAGTCCCTCAACCTCCTCCAGAAGCGTAGCTTCTCCGCTTCTGCCAGCCAGGTGTGTAGCCCAAATAAAAAAACATTGCGTCGGAGCTCTCTCTTGTCCACTTGCTAACCATCGCAATTTCCATCTCAGGCCTCCAAGGTTGCCGTTCTCGGTGCCGCCGGTGGCATTGGCCAGCCCCTGTCCCTGCTCATGAAGCTCAACCCCCTTGTCACTGACCTCGCCCTCTACGATATCCGCGGTGGACCTGGTACGTCGCACAGCTTCTCCCTTCCCTCCAGTTTGAAACGCCCATCCGATCATCGGAGTCGACTAACAGAATCCTCAAACAGGTGTCGCTGCCGATGTCAGCCACGTCAACACCAACAGCACCGTTAAGGGCTACGAGCCTACCCCCTCTGGCCTCCGCGATGCTCTCAAGGGCTCCGAGATTGTCCTCATCCCTGCCGGTGTTCCCCGCAAGCCCGGCATGACCCGTGATGGTATGCGCTGGACCATTTCAAATTTATAAAGGCACGAGCGTCAGAGTACTAATCACGCCTGTCACAGACCTCTTCAACACCAACGCCTCCATTGTCCGCGACCTCGCCAAGGCCGCCGCTGAGGCTGCTCCCGAGGCTAACATCCTCGTCATCTCCAACCCCGTACGTTGTTCTCAAATCATTACTAAAATTCTCGAACCTTGCACTAATTAGGTCCTCCCCCAGGTCAACTCTACCGTCCCCATCGTTGCCGAGGTCTACAAGTCCAAGGGTGTCTACAACCCCAAGCGCCTCTTCGGTGTCACCACCCTGGACGTTGTCCGTGCCTCCCGCTTCATCTCCCAGGTCAAGGGCACCAGCCCCGCCAACGAGAACGTCACCGTCATCGGTGGCCACTCCGGTGTGACCATCGTTCCCCTCCTCTCCCAGTCCAACCACCCCGACATCTCCGGCACCGTCCGTGACGAGCTGGTCAACCGCATCCAGTTCGGTGGTGACGAGGTTGTCAAGGCCAAGGACGGTGCTGGTTCCGCCACCCTCTCCATGGCCATGGCCGGTGCTCGCTTCGCCGACTCCCTCCTCAAGGCCGCCAACGGCGAGAAGGGCATCGTCGAGCCCACCTTCGTTGAGAGCCCTCTCTTCAAGGACCAGGGTGTTGACTTCTTCGCCTCCAAGGTCGAGCTCGGCCCCAACGGTGTTGAGAAGATCCACGAGGTTGGCCCCGTCAACGAGTACGAGCAGGGTCTCATCCAGACCGCCCTCGGTGACCTCAAGAAGAACATCCAGAAGGGTGTTGACTTCGTCAAGGCCAACCCTTAAATGGTTTTTGGACTTGCTTAAAGAAGGAACGAAATTGCAATACCTCTCTGCAGCCGCTTTTCCTCCCTGTATAACAGTCTTGTGATAATCCATACCCACTTCCCGCCCCCTATGCACATCCCCATCTCGCATGTGGCTTTTATATCGGAGGAAATGTAGCTGCGGAAACTCGCATAGCAATGAGTTTTTGTGAAGAGCCTGGGTTTGCCAGGGGAGATGGACATGAACGTGTATTTCCTATAAATAAGAAAAATCTAATGATTCAATGACTAGTGTTTGTAGCCATTCATTGGTACTTGTAGGATTCAGAACTGCACGCTGGTCTATTTACTACCTGCGGTCAGCAATATGCCTCGGCCGCACCAAGAAAATCGAACCCGTGGCTAAAACTTAAAATCACCGAGTCAGCAACCCAACTAAGTCCGCGACAGTCCCAACCGAGCCATGAAAACCGAACCATCATCTTTATACAAATACCAGCTCGTGACAAATCAACCACAAAACAAAAGAAGCAGGATAATTGAAAAGATAAAACATATATAACTAGTAATAGTAAGTGGATCATAAGCGAGAAAAACTGAAGATTTATAGATAATACTCTATTGCTATTCCCTCCCGCACTAACAACATCCACTCCGAGTCTTTTGAGTCATCAATTTATATTCTACTTTAGTAGTAGTAGTAGTAGTAGTAGTAGTAGTAATAGTATTGACAAAATGGAGTCCGGATCCCAGATATACATACATGGCAAGAAACATTTAGCAACTTGATATCCCTTTCTAGGTATCTTGTATTATCTCGGTATGTACTTATATAAAGATTATGGACTATGCATGTAATCTAGTACTACCACCTATCCACATATGGAGAATAATTATCAGTGATGACTGACTGCCAGGAATTGTGAATGAATTAACAGTATGGGTTAAGGTAAGTTTTAGATCATAATGCTGCAAAGGCACTACTAGCTGTTCATTTGAGACGGGATTATATCGATTAGGTGGTAGTAGTAGCAGAACAGTTAGAAGTGTATATTGTGTGCATCCTGAATGGAACATTTTCTGACTACAGTGATCATTATGTTTTGGTAAATTACTAGATGCAGTGGTAATGCACTTGCGGCCGGCCGGTTGAGGTATTTGATGCTGAATACTGAAACACTATACAGTCTTGATGGTTCTGTCTGAAGCATCTACTAGGTTAGTATGACAGGAAATAGATAAGGGCAGTAAGTTAAGAGTGGGGTATTTCCGTTTCTCATTGTATTCCAGAATGTTTAACTAGTAATAGTTGTTATCTTGTCATCATCCTTGTCATCATCATCACGGGGTCGTCGACAGCGGCAAGTGCAGGTGTAGGTGTCAAAAAATCAAAATCAACAGATATAAAACAACGCATAGAAGAC